TTCCCATCACCATTTATCCCCCCCTCTACTGTTTTCCACCTCCATCACCTCCACAGCCCCCTGGAATTGTGTGCTTTAAATGGGTGAGTTGTGTGATATTGTGAATTATATTTGAAATAGCTGTTATAAAAATAAAATTGGCCCTGCTTGGTGTGGCTTAGTGGATTGAGTGCTGGCCTGTGAACTGGAGGATCACCAGTTCAAGTCCCACTCAGGGCACATGCCTGGGTTGTGGGCCAGATCCTCAGGGAACATGTGAGAGGCGGCTGATTGATGTTTCTCTTGCATATCAACATTCCCTTCTTGTTCTCCCTCCCTTTCCCTCTCTCTAAAAATAAACAATATTTTTTTTAAAAAGAAAATTCATGTGGACAAGAGACTCTGAAAAGAAATGATTTCTTGAATCATTCTCCCCAGTGAAACATTTCTGCATTTAGAAACTTGACCAAGGAAAACCCACTATCCATCTTGGGGCAGAAATCTAGACCCCTATGTTAAGGAAATTTCTGTCACAAAGGCATAGTCCTTAAGCAGTGGTCTGAGACAGGAACTTAATTGCATTTAACTAATATTATCAGCATTTTAATTTGGACGCTTTCTGTTTCAGTCAACTTATACAATGTGATGCTTTCCTTTGTAGATGAAGAAGACAAGGATAGTTTGCAGGAACTTGCTACTGAACAGAAGTGCTTTGTAGAACATATCCTTTGTACAAAGCCATTGCCCTGCAGGTGAGAACTTCTGTCCACACAGGTGACAGTTGTTGTGTCAGTACTCCAGGTACGTGTGTACATTGCACTCCCATGTGCTCTCCACACAGATAACAATTGTGTCAGTGCTCCAGCTAAGTGTATATACATTACACTCACCAACTGTCTACACAGATAACAGTGGTGTCAGTAGTCCAGGTACCTGTATGTACACATTACACTCATGCAGACTCACCCCCGAGAGTATCAGTTTATCAGATGTTCATCCAAAGCTCAGCCCTGCTTCCTGACCACTCCATACACTGTGCCTTCTGTTTGGAGGGTATTTTCGTCGTCGCATCTGTAGTCTGCTGTCTTCACTTGGCAAACTAATTATTCTTTGTGATCGTAATGTCAATTATTCAGAGAGGGTTCCTTGATTCCCCAGTCTAACTTAGGGTTCTCCTGTTATTTTCCCTTTTTTGGTAGTACATTAAGATGGATGTTTGTGTTTCTTTAATGTTTTGTCACCACTGCTAGAATGTATGTTTCATGAGAATAGAAACCACTGTTTCTGACTGTTTACTGTCCCCTCCTGTCTGTATCCTCGCTGTCTCACAGTGCCTAGTGGAGAGTCAGAAAGTATTTGGTGACTAGAGTAGGGGAGATGTCTAGAATGACTCCCAGGTTTCTACCTAGCATAGCTGGGTTGATGTGGTACCTTTGAGAAACATGGGACATAGGAGGGGTCTGTTTGGGAAGACAGGCGGTGTGTTAATGGAGGGAGACACTTGGAGTTTTCTGTTCCCATAGGACATCCAAGTGGAGGTTCTCAATAGCCTGTTGGACATGTAGCTCTGGAGTCTGGAGTGATCTGAGCTAGAATGGTATGGATGTGGGACTTGTCAGCTTTGGAGCTAAGAATATGGTGGTTACTCAGAAAAGAGTCTAGAATGAGTAGAGGAGACATACAGAGCCTTGAGCAACACTTTCTTACAGTCACTGAGAGGAGATAGAGGACCCCAGCTCAGGAGGGAACCATGAGTCAGGGCTGCCAGAAAGACTGAAGGGGAACCTGAGGAGAGATGTCCAGGACGCTGAGGAGGAGGAGGAGGTCTCCAGGAGCAGGCAGTGTGGGCAGCAGTGTGAAGTGAGCACATCGGAGCAACGACGAGTCTAGACTTGGCAATACAGGGCTTCATCTAGAACCATAAGGAAAATAGTAGGGGTTGGGGATGGAAAGCACCATTGAAAAACGAATGGAGAAAACAAGTAACAAAATTCCACTTATGTATATTTCAAAAAACAGGTAAAATTAAACAGCATCACTTAGTAATACATAGATACAAAAAAACTATTGTATTGAAGGAGAGCAAGAACATGAGTGTCATAAAAGTCAGAATGGCAATTACCTCTTTGAGGAGTGGAAGGCTGTGATCAGGGAGGGTCGTGCAGGAAGGAGGTCCCAGGCCACTGCACCGTTCTAATCACTGATCTGGGTAATGGTGACAGAGTGCATCTGTGCACTCTTCTATGCATAGATTTCATATTGCAAATATAAAATAAAAAATATCAACTTCCCAGACTCCGTCTTCCCACCACCCCCCTTGTAGGTTACAATTTAAAGACTGCTGATTCTAAAGAGTATGGGAGGAAAACTAGGTTAGAGGGAGCTTGCCATCATAGTAGGCAGTGTTCTGAATAAAAGATGTGAGCATGTTTGTAAACTGAGGGCAGTTAGACAATAGGGAGCTTATATAAGTGCAGTTGACGGAACAGTACTCAGAAGAGGTGAGAGGGTGGCATCGGCAGTCCAGGGGCAGGAATGTGCTGGGGTGCGGGTGAGGGGTGAGCAGCATGTTCACAGGAAGGACATTTCCTCCCTGAGGTCTGCAGTTTTCAGTCTCTTCAGTGAAAGAACCAAAATTAAGAGGGAGATGCAAGCTGTGCACTGTGAAACTAAGTCCTATGACATAGATGTTGAGCTCCACTGGATTTTTAATGTGAGATATACTGACATTCTCTTGGTCAACAGTTTCTGAGCACTTAATTCAGGTTGGGCCCTGGGCTGGGCATACAAGGATAGCTGGGCCTTCTGGGCAAGTTGGAACGTGACAAGTTTAGACAGGTAAACCATTAACGTCACCATGTCATGGTAACTTTGGAGGTAATGGTGAGCACCATGAGGCTGTGGGTTCCTGAGGGAGTGACTTACAAGTCAAATGGCCTCTAGACTGTTGAGTGACAGCTTGTTTGAAACCAGTCAAAGCTGTAAGCATTACAAGTTCCAAAGTCAACAGCTTTGCAGTTGCTGCACTAATAACTCAGGCCTAAGAGGGCGACAAACCTCAACTATGTCGTTACTTTTGGATCCATTGCATTTGCTGTTTTATAACCTAACTGTAGCCTTGTGTTTTTCCAGGCAGCCAGCTCCAATTCAAGGATTCTGGATTGTCCCTGACATTTTGGGGCCCACAATGATCTGCATCACCAGTACCTATGAATGCCTCATAAGGCCTTTGTTGTACGTATCAGTTTGAATTCCCCACACAACTTGTTAAACCTGTAAAATCTAGGCTGGGAAAATGCCCTTGAAAACCCACTTGAAGATACTTGGATTCTGCTTTGGCTTCTGACTTGAGGGTTGGAAAGGTAGATAGAATTTATTATAGGTGTGATTTCTGGTTATCTTCTTCAGCTAGCTGAGAGTTGAGAGCTTCACTTCAAAGTATGGGAAAGAATACGAAAATTAAACACTGAACCCTATTAATAAAAATTACATTGAGTTTTTGTATTTTAACTATGTGTCAGGCTTAGAAGTGAAGCAGCAGTTACCTGCATTGGCCCCTGGAAAGCAGAGCAACCCTGTAAGGACAACACCGTTAAGCCCATCTGGTAAAAGAGGAGTCAGGGCTCGAGGGGTTCAGTAGGTGCTGAAGTAACACATCGAGCAAGGCTGCAGATACAGGGCTTTCTGACTCTGCAGTTCATACTCAACTTGAATTTCCTCCACTTCTGCCCAGCTCAGAGGGACATCATAGAATATATAAACTCTGAAAATCTTCCTTCTTATGGAACTCGTGTTAAGCTCATACACCATTTTTATTTTCAACAGCCCTGAAATATCATTGAGTTTCATAAATGCAAGAATAGGAGTCCCTAAAAAGCCACCAGAGTGTTGAACACACTAGACCACCCCCCAAGTCTTCTGGTGTCATTTCAAAGCATGTGGTTCTAGATACTGACACAGTTCAAAATACTGCCACTAATTTATTATCCTTTAAAGAACTTGTATACTCTTTGAAGACTGACAAGTTACACTATCTGGAAAGGAAAATAATTCAGTGTCAGTTTTTATTATTTATACTCAAAAAGTGACTTAAAGCTCTAGCAAAACTAAACAAAAGCAATAAAAATCACTGAAAAAAATTTTAATTGTTTTTTTAGACAGAGAGGGAAGAGGGAAAGAAACATCGATTGGTTGCCTCTCAAACACCTCCAGCTGAGGACCTGGCCTGTAACCCAGGCATGTGCCCTGACCAGGAATCGAACCAGTGACCTTTCTGTTTGCAGGCTGGCGTTCAGTGTACTGAGCCACACCAGGCAGGGCTCAAGCATATTTTTAAAGACTCATCCTACCTTTAGTGAAATCTTAAGTCCTACTCACCTGTAGTTACTCCAGAATAAAAACATGAATCCCAAAGGAAAAAATACTCTGAAATATTAGTTAATCTAGGTACATTTAAATCCTGTTTTCTGTTAGCTCCCTGAAATACAAGTTGTCTTTAACAAGTTCCCAGATTATGATTGCATTCAGTCACTTACCATGCTAAAGTTGCAGTCTTTCCAGCTTTCTAAAATTGTCATTGTGATATTTGTAATACTTTTTGTAATTTTTAGAAATCAAGTTATATAGAAATACAGTATTAGAGCAGTTACCTTGGTGAGTATTGGTTTTGATCAAACCCAAACTATACCTAGGAAAGGAGTGACTCCTTTATATTTGTGACTCTGGCTTATAACTGGTTCTCAAGCTCTTGCATAAAGAGTCCATGATGAATTTATACTTTTGTGCTGCCTTGATCTTTACAAAAAAAGAATTTGGAGTGACAGAGTACTAAATGAATGCTTTGACAAATGGTAATGATATTGGTTGAATAAGGTTTCCCAGGGAGCTATCTTCAAGGAAGAAAGCATGCATTCTTGTCCTTTTCCACAAGTAACACTGTAATGAGGACTAAGGTGGACTATCCTTTTCCTATAGTACAGTAAATGACTCCATGGTAGATTGTGTTTTTTTAATTTTTGCAGAAGCACAGTCCATCCAGCGTCTCCTCCACTGCTTTGTACTCAAGAAGATGTTGAAGTGGCAGAGTCTCCTCTCCGAATTTTAGCAGAAACTCCGGATTCCTTTGAAAAGCACATAAGAAGCATTTTGCAACGTAGTGTTGCAAATCCAGCGTTTTTGAAGTATGAGGTTTGGGTTATAGGTTTTAAGAACTGGTTCCCTTCTGTTTTTCCAATTACTACTCATTCTTTCTGTTCTCAGCTATAGATTTCATTTTATATACTTTTTATTATGTTGGAGCTTGGAGAAACCCAGGGTGTATTTAATCAGCTAGTGAATAGTCAAAATAGAGACACTTGAGAATGACAAGCGGCAAGTGTGAAAAGGGGGGGAAAGCAGCTATGACTTGAGTCTATTTTTAGTTGTTTTGCTAAGCTACAGACTGTAATGGTAGAAACTTTTTTTAAAAGATCATCTGAAAAAGATATGGCCCCTCCTCCTGAAGAATGTCTGCAGCTCATCAGCAGAGCCACCCAGGTGTTCAGAGAACAGTACATTCTTAAACAGGACCTGGCAAAGGAGGAAATTCAGCGGAGGTAGGATGGCCTTTGCTCACATGCCACCAGCTCCTAGCTGGTAGCTGACCAAGTGTAATGGCCTAGACCTGGATTCCAATTAAATTTCACTTTTTTGTTTTCAAAGGGTCAAATTACTATGTGACCAAAAAAAGAAACAACTGGAAGATCTCAATTATTGTCGAGAGGAAAGGTAAGGGCCAAAAGTAGATGAAAAAATTTTTTTCAGTAAGACTGGAACTGTATCTTACCCTAAAATACTGGATAACATTAGCTGGCTTCACCATCAAGGTGGGCCCTAAGATTCTCATTTTTATGCCATTAGGAAAAGTCTACGGGAAATGGCTGAGCGTTTAGCTGACAAATACGAGGAAGCCAAGGAAAAACAAGAAGACATCATGAACAGGTCAGCGGGTTGTAGAACATTCTGTTACCTGCTCACGTATAACTAATGCTGTTAAGTACTCAGCTGCTGACAGTGTTAAGGAAAATGTGCCTAGGGTGCATCCTTTGAGGCCCACAGCACTGACCTGATTCCCCACCTCTCTTCCGAGGTGTGTGTCAGGGAAGACAGTGTGGTGGTGGTTTACACACCATGAATTAGAGCTTTAGTTGTAACTGGTTCCCTGGGTAGCAGAGATCTTAAGCCAAGATGTTGTTTTGCCTTTTGTAAAGGATGAAAAAAGTACTTCACAGTTTCCATGCTCAGCTGCCAGTCCTCTCTGACAGTGAGAGAGACATGAAGAAGGAGTTACAGCTGATACCTGATCAACTTCGACATTTGGGCAATGCCATCAAACAGGTGGGAGTGAATGCAGGTGGCTAAAATTTGTACTTGTGTTTGTTCTACAGAAAACTTTATAATGTAAAATGATACAGTAAAAACATGTAGCGAACCATAGCTAAATATGTTATCTATGTTCTGTTTGATACTTTAGGTTACTATGAAAAAAGACTATCAGCAGCGGAAGATGGAAAAGGTACTGAGTCCTCAAAAACCCACCATCACTCTCAGTGCCTACCAGCGCAAGTGCATTCAGTCCATCCTGAAGGAAGAGTAAGTAATTCTGCTCAGATATGATTACTTAGCATTTGCACATCAAGTAATTCATAGAATAGGAGCCAATGATAGGTGAGGGCTTCAGAGAGGAGTGTGGTAGACCAAAAATGATGACTTTATTATAAAGAGATTTCATTGACCAAGGGAATATGCTAAAAAATATTTCCAGCATTTGCAATACTGTTTGCCACCATTAGCCTTGAATGTGTAATAAAGACCATTACTGTCTGTCTCAAACCATAAGTTAGCTTTAGCAAAGCACTTCTAATGTCAACATTATTAACTAGTTTCAGTTCTTAACAGTATTAATGACTTACTCATTTGTTGTGTTCCCAATAGTGACTGACTTTATTATTTTACAGGGGTGAACACATAAGAGAAATGGTGAAGCAAATTAATGATATCCGAAATCATGTAAACTTCTGACACCAGGAACAGATTCATACCTGAAGTTAACACAAATGAAGGCTTGAGCTCATATTTGTAAAACAAACAGGTAGCATAGTCTAATTTATAAAGAGGCACTTGGATGAGCTTTGATGTGGTGGTTCATCATTTTTTATACTTTTTTATAATTATTGAATAAATGCTTTTATTTAAACATTGGAATGTGCTTTATATGTAGTAAGCTCAAGTCAATGATTATTTTCAGCAAGGGCCTAGGATTAAAAAAATAAAGCCTGAGACTTTCCATGAACCTGAGTATTCGCCATAGTTGAACAAAATCACAATTAAGAGGTGCATGTTAAAGTACCAGCACCAGAAATATGACTCTGTAGAGGGACAGGACCTTAGAATTCAAAGGAAAAGGCCACACCATATACTAGGCAGCAGCTTTTTTAATGTGAACACTTTCTCCTTCAGTACAGTTAAACGGTTACATCTGAAATCTGCTTAGAGCGGAGTCCAACATCCACACTGCAAGGCCACTGTTGGCTCACTTCCACAGGCAGCATTACCTTTCAGAGCTGAGTCTGGCTGTGCAGTGCACCCCTGGGACACATGTTACTGAGTGAGGATGAGGTACAAGTGTAGGCCCTCAAAGGGAGAAAAACAATTTCCTATGCAGTATATGGTTTTGCTCTCAGTTACCTTTATTTTAGGTGACCTTTTTAAACCTGCCCATGTGGGTTCTGAAAGGTAATACTGTGTCTGCCTAGAAATGGCCAAGTGGCTGCCAGTTAAAAGCCACATGGTAAGGTAGGTTTTAGGTAGGAAGTAAATCAAGTTAGACATGCATGAGAAAAACATGTACAGACTGAGTACAAGCATAGGAACACTTATGAAACCGAACTGATCTTTTCCTTTGTCCAGACAGACTTAAATCCCACCTTCTAAATCAGTTTCCCATATACAGAAAACCCCGTTTAAAGTGTTTCTTACCAGGATGGTGGCACAATGTTTGTTTCATACCAAAAACAGATTATTAACAAAATCTAGTCATAGTTTGGGTTCTTCCAGGATATTTTTCTCAACAAAGTGGCTTCCAACGGTTTGCATCTGCCATGGTGGAGACCACCAAATGGTTCCCCGATCATGATTTTATTGGCCCAACTCCACCTTACAAAGGCAAATACCTGCAGTGTCTCAGCAGAGCAGTTCCCTAGGAGGTACAGTTCAGTTCAGGAAGATTAAAACTGGCTATACTGCCAGTTTTAATATTCTGAGACAAATTAACTCAGGGCTTATCCAAGGGATTCGTCTTACATAATTTAAACATATTTGGGAGTTATTAAAGTTCCCTGTAACTCCATGAGGATGTATGTTTCCTTTATCTAAACCAAGTAGCACTTTATATGAAGGGACTTTAAACCAATTAAAATAATGTTTCATGCATGCCAGGCCTATAGTGCTGTTTCTGTAATTCCTATTTACTTTTAAATTCATTAATCACGAATTCAAGACTACAACAACAACCCAAGGAATGAGGTATGTAGTCCTTGTCCCATGGAAGACAGGATCAAAGATCTTTAGGGCTAGTACATAATCAATTCATTAATAACAAAGACCATTCACTATGAACTATAGCTGATGGTGGCTTTCAACAAGACAATCTACTTAATCCACTTAATTACCATAAGGTTCCTTCAAGTACACTGCTGTTACATAATACCAATCACAAAAATTATTTGAAGACAACTTCATTTTTGAATTATCTGTATCATGAATTAAACAATGTAGGCTCCCACTGGCTCACAGCAGTGGGAGAACAGCCAGCTGGAACCCTTCGTGCTTCCTGCATGTAGGCTGTGGCCAAAGCAGCCTGTTCACTGATGCTTTCTCCACACAGGAAAGGAATCTAACCTCATAGAGATAACAAAACACATTTCCAAACTGATAATGTACCAAACAGGTTTTCCCCAACTTCATAAGCACATCACACTCCAGGCCTAAATTATAAAAGAAAAATACAAAATAGGTATCTGTCACACACAGTTATCGCCATTTTCATATTTGACACTTTAGAAACAGTACTCAGGCCCATTGATCTGAATTGAAAATAAGCAGCATGTTTATAAATTTATAGATGTTGTCGGACATAGCTTGGTTTGTCATATTTCCCACAGATCCAATAACAAAAAGTTTTCAAAAGAGTAGCTGGTACCAATTCAGCTTAACCCTGGTACCTGTGGGCCCATGAAATTCATCCAGGTAACAGAAAAAGTGCTTCCAGTTTCTTGTGCTTTTCCTTTAACTTCAATTTCCAATACATATAGCCCCAACCAAGTTTTCAAATCCTCATAATTCAGTTCTTGAATTGGTTTTGTTTGCCACATCTTAATGGTTCTCAGGCAAGTTTCAGTAGCATTTAAGGTCCTTCAAAGCAATTAAAATAGTTAAAAAGAAAACACTGAGCTAGGAAATACAGTCACTAGCCAATGGCCTGCTCTCAAACTTCATATTTTAATATAAAATATTCATACAGCATACTACACGTCTTGCTAGCTGAATACTGTTACTGATGTACTCTAGATAACAGAAAAAATTACTTCTTCCAATATGTATAAACAGGAAATGTAATTCCAAACACTACTGGGATGGTGCTTTAGGGCAGGGAAATGGATAAACAGGCAAGGAAACAGCACTTTCTCCATCACCAAATCTGTTCCACACCCGCTGGAATCAAGTTTGGAGTCTTGTTCGTGTTCCCATTTTAAAGGTCTTTTTGCTGCAAATTAGCCTGTTTGCTGTTCCCATGCTGCAGTCTTCTTCCACTAGAAACAAACATTTCTCCAGTCTTCCTTTTTTTGTGACTTCTTTAGTTAAGAGTTAAATAATTAATGTTGCTCTAAAGATGAGTTAAAAACCGAAAGTGCAGGCTAGAGTCCTGCTATGACAGTGTCATGTCTCAGGGAGCTGGTTAATGTCTGTCAGTTTGGTGTCATTCAGAATTGCCCGGACTCTCTCCAGGGAGTCTGCTTGCCGGATCCGTTCTAATTGCACCTGGAGAAACAATACAGCGAGCTAAGTACAGATGGCTTCTGCCTAAATTTTCTGAAGTTTACTTTGTTTTAGATGAGATGGAGCAATTCCTAAAAGTTGCTGTGTAGCAGACCCAGTGTAAGGTGCTAGGACTATGGAGGTGAGTGAGAACCCACATTTCTTGGGGGGGCAGGGGGAATTAAAGAAAATTTTGGCACAATATACTAATGTCACTGTAGGCATTCAGGAGCGCCAAGGCAGCACAGGGTTGGGTGGGTACCACTGTAGAGCATGAGGACCTACAAGGGGTTCTATGGGAAGGACAAAGTTAAGCTGAACCTTAAAAAGGAACTGGGGTGATGAGACAATGATGCTTACCAGAGGGACTACCATGCTGTGGGCAAGGAACCACAAGTAGTTAAAATACACTAAAACAGGATGTCAAACTCATTTTCACCAGGGGCCACATCAGCCTCGCGGTTGCCTTCAAAGGGCCAAATGTAATTTCATTTGAAATTGAATTTCAATTTCAAATACCCCTTAACTGTTAAGGGGTAGATACATTTATACTACTACTACTACTGCTACTACTACTACTAGTAGTAGCAGTAGTAGTTGTTGTTGTTACAGTCCTAAAATTATTTCGGCTCTTTGAAGGCAACCTCAAGGCTGACATGGCCCCTGGTGAAAATGAGTTTGACACCCCTGCACTAGAACATAAAATGTAAACTGTAAGGTGGAGAAGTGAATAAAGTGCAGGGGTACGTCTGGTTCGGAAGGGTCTTACATGGTATGCTAAGAACTTTATATTTGACTTTTAAGGACCAACAAGGTAGAGAGGGGAAGGGGCACAAGTCTGAAGTACACACCTGGTTTTTGGCTTAAATGACCAGGCAGGTGTTTGGGCTGGGATAGGGGTAGCCACAGTCTAATCCTGTAGCTATTGTCAGTGGCCGAGTCAAGGATTGGCAAGTTCTGGATACCAAGACTCATGGCTTGGTGCTCTAAGAGTTCTCCAAATGCCTCACCTGAAGGGTCTGAGAAAGCTTTACAAAATCTCTCTGGACTTGTTCACTGACATCTAGTTCTGTCTGCAACCTCTGAGCTTTGTTCTTCTCTTCAAACATTAGTTGTTCAATAGTGACCTAAAAAATACAAGTTTTGAATGAGGACTGTCAAAAAATCATGGGTCAGAATTGTCTAGGTTCCTAAAGTGAAGGGAATATGAAAGCCAGAAGAAAAAGTGACTGAAGTGCTACACACGTACTGCAAACACACACACACAGTCACCCCTCACCCCAGTAGCCTAGTGACCATGGTTAGTCATCAAAAAGCAGCAGCTCAGATTAGTAGCTACTACAGCAATAGGGACAGAAACTTTGGGGACTTCCTCTGACAACCACAACACTCAAGCATATGAAAATTCTCAGCGAGGATACACCAGGCTGTCTCCATTTCAGCTGGACCATGTGGCAGCACCTCCATAAACAAAGGACTATCAAATACCACGTGCAGTTTTTTTTACACTTAATGGTCTGACCTCACAGATTCTGTTTCTAGGAAAACTTCCCCGCAATTAGCTCCATCACTTTTATTCTAATGGGAATAATGAAAAGTTAGGCAGTCTGTATTGTTCAATGAGTATTTGACAAGTCAAACGGAATTGCACTTCTGAAGCAGTGTGTCTAGTTATGGGCAGGGCCACATTTGCCCCATGGTCCTCGAGCACACTGCCTAAAAAGCTGCGAGGCCTATGACACAGGCCAAGAGCTAGCAGTGTGCAGATCTCATCCAACTCTAATGAGATCAGTTCATCTCATTTTCTTTCTGCAAGCAGAGTCTTGACGACTTTCAAAGATGCATTTAAAGTAGCAATATATATTTTTTAAATAGGCAAGATATGGTCTTACATTCTTAGTACTGCTTTTTAATTAAATTACCAACAAAAATATCACCTTAGCAGTAGTTTCTTTTTTTAATTGTTCTTCCAAAGTGATTTTCATTTCCTGAAGGCTCTCAAGCTGTTGAGACTTCTCTCTCAATGTGGACTCCAACTGTGAAAGTAAGAAGAAAGCTGAGACTCACTGCAGGTTGACAGTGCACTGCCTGTAGGAACCTGAGGCCTGGAGAATGATGCCTGAGTTCTCAGGCTTTGCTTGTGTTGTTCTTCTCACCCTCTGGTCTCTGTGAATCTTCTATTTATTCTTCAACACCCATTTCTTTCACTAAACATTAGGCACCTACTATGTTCTAAGGCCTGGCAATGGAGAAATCAGGAAAGACTAATGTAAATAAATAATTCTGACACATGAGTTCTGGCCAAGATGGAGGTGTAGGTGGAAACTCTGTGCCTCCTCACACAAACAAAATTAAGGTCAACAAAGATTTAGGAACAAGAACCAGAACAGACAGAAAACTGAACTGTACAGAAGTACAACAACCATTCAACCAGACCAATAAGAGGAGTGGAGTCGGGGGCCTGAGGGGAGGGGTAAAGGCAGGAAAAGGCAGTGGCTGCCAGACCCAGGAGCTCAGGTGGCACAGGGTTAGCAGACCCCAGGCGTGGAGAGGAAATGAACAGAGCGAGCAAGGTGGCTGACTGACAGCAGTCCCACATTCGTACTCAGATAAACTAGGCAAAAATGGGCAGTGAGACAGACCGCACAACCCAGGGCCCCAGCAATGGGAAATAAAGCCCAAAAGCACAGATTGAAAAAACTTGTGGGGGCTGAGGTGCCGGGAGACTCCCAGCCTCATAGAAGAGTTCGTTGGAGAGACGCACAAGGTCCCAGGAGGACGTACACAAGCCCACCTGCCCAAGAACCAGCACCAGAAGGGCCCAATTTGCTTGTTGGAAGTGGCAGAAGGGACTGAAATCTGAGAAAGAGTGGAACAGGCACCACTGTTCCCTCTCTGGCCCCCACATACAGTGTCACAACCCAGCAATGGGGGTTGCCCAGCCCTGGTGAACACGTTTAGGCTCTGCCCCTCATTCGTAATAGGCACAACCTGACCAAAAAATTATGACTCAAACAGAAGAACAAATCAAAGCCCCAGAGCCAATACTTCTAAGCAACCAAGAGATAGCCAACCTATCAGATGCACGGTTCAAAACTCTGGTGATCAGGATGCTCACAGAACTGGTTAATTTTGGTCACAAATTAGATGAAAAAATGAAGGCTACACTAAGTGAAATGAAGGAAAATGCACAGGGAACCAATAGTGATGGAAAGAAAACTGGGACTCAAATCAAGGGAGTGGACCAGAAGAAAGAAAGAAAGAAACAACCAAACAAAAAAAAAAAATGAAGAAACAAAAATTTTAAAAAAAATGAGGCTAGGCTTAGGAACCCCCAGGACACCTTTAAACATTCCAACATCTGAATTATAGGGGTACCAGAAGGGGAAAAGGAAGAGCAACAAGTGGAAAACTTATTTGAACAAATAATAAAGGAAAACTTTCCCAATCTGGCAAAGGCAATAGAATTCCAGGAAGCCCAGGAAGCCCAGGAAGCTGAGAGAGTCCTAAAGAAGTTGGACCCAAGAAGAACACACCAAGGCACATCATCATTACATTATCCAAGATGAAAATGAAGGAGAGAATTCTAGAAGCAACAAGACATAGGGGACAGTCACCTACAAAGGAGTTCCCATCAGACTGTCAGCTGATTTCTCAAAAGAGACCTTGCATGCAAGAAGGGGAAAGAAGCTGGAAAGAAGTATTCCAAGTCATGAAAGGCAAGGACCTACATCCAAGATTGCTCAATCCAGCAAAGCTTTCATTTAGAATAGAAGGGCAGATAAAGCGCTTCTCAGATAGGGCCAAGTTCAAGGAGTTCATCATCACCAAGCCCTTACTATATGAAATGTTAAAGGGACTTATCTAAGAAAAAGAAGATAAAAAAGATGAACAGTGAAAAGACAGTAAACTCAGTTATTAACAACACCTAAAACAAAAGCAAACAGGAACAGAACTATAGAAATGGAGATCACATGGAGGGTTATCAACAGGGGAGTGGGAAGAGGAGAGAGGGGAAAAGGTACAGAAAATAAGTAGCATCGATGGTAGGTAGAAAATAGACAAGGGGAGGGCAAGAGTAGTGTGGGAAATGTAAATATAGAAGCTAAAGAACTTATGACACATGGACATGAACCAAAGGGGGAATGTGGGTGGGAGGGGGTGTGCAGGGTGGAGGGGAACGAAGGGGGGAAACAGGACAAATGTAATGGCACAATCAGTAAAATATATTATTAAAAAAATAATCCTGACATATGAACATGGATGAAGAAACATTTAATTCTGCCAGAGAAGTTGGGAGAAGGGCTTCCTTGAAGAGATGACATTTGACCCTTAAAAGATGAAAAATTTTATAGGGGAAACAAGAGGGATGGTATGGAGAAGGTGGAGAGAAATACTCCAAAGAGGGAACAGATGACATGAATAAAAAAGTGCCCAAGAACTGCGGTGGGTTTTTGCTGAGCTACAGTACAGAGCATTGGGGTCTTAGAGGCTAAGGCTAGTGAGGCTAAAGAATGAGGACTTGATCCTGGAGGTAAAGAGAACCACTGAAGAGTTTTAAAGCAGACTGGGACATTGTTTATCATTTTTAAAGACCACCATGGTTTATTATGAAGATGGATTGGAACAGGATAAATTTTGGAGGCAGTGAAAGAAGTTAGGCTGTTACAATAAGCCAGGTGAGAACCGAAGTTGGAACCCAAACAGCACTAGGAGTGGAAAGGATGGGACACGACTAGAGTTCTGGTTAAGTTCTGCCAGCATAACCCCAACAGCACAGCAGAGGCAGAAGCCAGACTGCATGGGTGAGGGGTGATGGGAGGTCAGGCAGTGGATATTACTCTTTCATGAACCTTGGCTATAAAAAGAAGACGACTGGTAACTTGAGAAGTATAAGCCAAAGAGAAACTTTTCTCCTCTTAAGAGGAAACACATGTAATGGAAAGACTGATCACAAGGTAGAGGTTCGAGGCCCATGACTGAGGGGTGGAGGGGGTAGGGACTGAGAGGATGTCTGCAAAAGATGTGAGGATTCAGCCAAAGCACAAGTGCAGTGATAGAAGACTGGTCAAAACCAGGTCATCTTCTCTGATGAAACAGGAGAGAAAAGGCTAGGAAGAAAAGTAAGAGAACAAATAACTGAGGGGCCAGGAAGCTGAAGGTGACCCCACTGATGATGGGTATAAGACCACCATCTCTGAGTGAGGGGGTAAGGTGAGTGTGACTGTCTGACACAGCTGCTGTGAGGGAGAGAGGAGAGATAATGAAGGCCAAATGAAAGGCTGATTAACACCTGAGGCTCAACTGATGGCCAGTGTGCAGCGTGACTCATTCCAGGGGCATCCCCAGCTGGGGCAGGGGCAGAGCAGGTGCACACCAGGATCGCTTCGGAGTTGGGCGGTATTGAGTGAGGGCAGCAGAAAGACAAGAAGTCATGGGACCCGCAGGTGTATTGGTAGGAGACTGACTAGTTGAAGCAAGCCACAGAAGATACAGCTTAGAAGTGAAGAAAGCAAAGCCATAAAAAAGTCACTAAGGCAGAAAGAAAAGGAAAAGTTCAGGGAATTGAACGTCTAAATGAGGTACTCACAGACAGTTGGGCTCATGGGATTTAAGTACTGAAAGGATGGTAAACTAGGATCAGGGAACAGGGGGCTGCAGTGAGATGTCAGAGGTGGGGCTTGGCACAGCCAAGAGTATGTGAAGGAAAGGGTGGGGGAAGCAAAGGTCATTGAGTAAATGAACACTGAGGCCAGAGAGTTGAGTGGGGTTGTATTGAGGACTCTAAGCCAGCTAGAAAACATCACCTTCTATGTGTAAAAGACTTTGTACATCTTTCTACTGTAGGTTTAAGTATGTATCATGTCACAACCATGCTTTGCCCGTGTTCCCACTATGGTGGAAACCCCAGGCTGCAGCCACATCTCAGTCTTCCCGGTACCTCTCTAGTCAACATGTGGCCTGACTCAGAGCAGAGTGGCAATAATGGTCTCCATTATTATCATCCCTTTTTCCACTGTATTTTTCCCACTAGACTTAAGTCCCTTGAGGGCAGGGACATGTCATAACTACAGTTTATTCCTTGGGTCTAGCACAGTGGGATTCAATTAATTGTAAGTTGCTGATGGGATTAATTTGAAACTCATGAAACTCACCTGTCCTTTTTCTACTTTTATTCTTTCTAATTCAGCTTTTAAGCTAGAAATGGAAGCTATAAGGGGGGAAAAAAAAGACAGAAGTGTTAGCGTTTATTATTGTGAATTTAAATCATTTTCTTACCATTCCCCCTTTCCTACCATAAATTCAATCTCATAAAGAAAAAAGTTAAATATATATACTGAACATGGGAGGAAAAAACCAACATCTTTTCTCAAATTATCAGCGACCAATCACCATAACAATCAAGCTCAGGGAAAGGGAGAGTCCACGCAAATACTATCATCATAAACTCCTAAATTTTTCTGATATCCACATCCATCTCTGGGTGTGCAGTGGAGATATTCCCCACGGGAGTCTTTTAACCCATCAAAGTTCTGCAAGGAAATCCCACCTATCTAGTCACATTCCCCAGTGGTCTCAGTTCAAGTGTAGACTTTCCCATCTTTTAGTAATTGCCAGAGAGAGGCCATTAGTGCTCTTAAAAAGACTGAGTTTGGGTTTTTTTCCCTCCCAATTATTAGATAATCAGAACATTTGGGAAAATGGACTGAGACCTTACTTAACTCTTTCCTATACTTTTCTGTTTTCCACATTCTATGACCAGGTATTACTTCTTATAATCAGAAAAAAAAGTTTTATTTAGTGCCTCCAATTCTAAACTACATCACTTTTATCTTCACCTATTTCTTCCTTGCAGTTTTCTATTTCTAATTGCAGAGTTTCTTCAAGGTTCTCTTTTAAACACTGTTCCGCCTGAATCTGTTCTTTTAGGAAAAGTATTTCCGCCTTCAGTTTTTCTTCCATGTGGTCTGCTGCTGTCCGCACATTAATGATATTCTCACGGTATTTTAACACCAACTCTCGGAGTTCCTGGATTCAAGAAACAAATGATTATTCAGTTTGGGGCGGGGGGGTGAAAGAAAAAAGAGACTAAAGACTTTCTGCACCCAGAATTTCAGATGAATACTGTTTTGTTTTGTTTTGTTTTGTTTTTAATTCTTACACAAGGACATTTTTCATTGTCTTTAGAAAGAAAGGAAGGGAGGGAGGGAGAGAGAGAGAAACATCCATCTGTTGCCTCCCACACGCACCCCAACCAGGGATGGAACCTGCAACCTTTCAGTATACAGGACTAATACTCCAATAAACTGAGCCACACCAGCCAAGGCTCAGATATTGTTTTAAATGGTTAAAAAATAAAGACTTCCAATTCCGCCCCACTTGGGGCTTCAAGGGGCAGGTATCATGTATGTCGTGTTAACATTCAGCATATTATAGAAATAAGACATTTCCAGCCAAAAAGTGTGTACTGTGAACTACTTATTTTTCCCTCAAAATTGTTTCATAAGCAGAAAAATAAAAATGTTAAGTGACTTACAATGTGGCGCTCACCATGAATGGCTTAGGAGCTTCTACTATTAATTGCTTAAATTTGAGGAGAGTTAGGGTATAAGAAGCAAAGAAACAAACTCAGAAACAAATGTGAACTCTAATAAGATAAAAATTATTTACTTTTTCATTCGACCACTTGTTGAACATCTACCACAAGCAAAGTACTATGTTAGGCTAGAGGCAAATATGACAAAGAATGGCTTTCTAAGGTGATCAGCTTTTTGCTATAATCAATTTAAATCTTTTTTTTCTCTAATTTTTCTGAAAGACTATTTATTTATTTTTGAAGAGAGGGAAAGGGAGAGAGAGGAAGAGGAACGCTGATGTAAAAGAGAAACACTGATCAGTTCTCTCTCTCATACCTGGCCCGACCAGGGGTACAGCCCACAACCCAGGCATGTGCCCTAACCAGGAATCAACCTGCAGCCCTTCACTTTGTGAAATGACACCCAAAGAGCTACATTAAGTTAGGGCTTCCCTAAATTTTAATTGTCTACTTTAAGGCCTCCCAATTATATATCATAAAATAACTCTAAAGCAAAAAAACATGATTCTTAGATAACTAGCAAATGTATATAAATTAAAGAACAGCAAGAAAAATGTAAAAAACTGTTACAAGTATTTCAAAATATTTACTGCTCAAGTAGGTCTAAGAATCAAGGCTTACAGGCAAGACTGATTATATCATTCTAGGCTTCTTGGATTTTTTTTAAATTTAGAAATAAACAGTTTCTAGAGAACATTGAAGAGAGAATTTTTTCTGCCAAAGAGAAAAACTTAACAGAGGTGTTAAGCAGTATGCAAAAACAGACAGGTTCCCAGAACTTCCCCCTCGATGGGATCAGTAGCCAGTTCAGAAAGGAAAGAGCTCTCTCAGGAGAGGACCAGTGCTTGAGCTGAGATGGGGAGGGGGTAAGAGGGAAAGCAAGGAGCTAACAGCTCCTTGGTAGGCAGCCAATGGAGCCACTGTGAATGAGTAAAACAAAAACCAAAAATAACAGTGATGTTAATGCATACACACAGGAAAAAAGAAAAAAGGACGAGGTCCAGATTGTAGAGGGTATAGAGGTAATAAGCTTAGGGAAAACTGTAATGTTTGATTGTTAAGTAATGTTTAACAATTATAATTTTTTAAATAAAAGAACAAAAGGATTTTATGAATAACATTTTTCTATTTTGTTTTGAAAATTGCTCTAAGAAATCTCACCTCTGCCTATACTGTCTGTAGTGTTTACATGGGTTTAGCCTAAGGTAATATTTCTTAAAATGTTAAACAATATTAAAATGTATGGTACTAAAGGTTGGAGAAAGTTAGGAGGTAGTTATGAACATCTCTAAGAAACCTGGTTTTGCAACCCAGGCTCACCCAACCACAGAAGAATGGAAGTGACTAAAACTGTTGAAAAGTCACTGGAAGTCAGAGGAAGGAGACTGCAGTATATACCCTTTTAAGTGCTAAACAGAAAAACAAACATTACAAGAATCCAGCTTGGTAATCTCTTCAAACATTTAATTTCTGGTGCATTCTCTATCTGGTCCTGCAAGAATAACTTACAGACCTTTAATATGGCAAAGGATTCTTACATATAACACTGACGGCTCTAGGAAAAGGAGCAAAAAATAGGTAGCTTGGACTATTTATCAAAATTAAAAATTTTTGCCCTGGCCAGCCTGGCTCAATTGGAGCGTTGTCCCATATACCAAAAACGGTCACAAGCTTGATTCCTGGTCAGGGCACATACCCAGGTTACAGGTTCAATCCCCAGTCAGGGCATGTTACAGAAGGCAACTAACTGATATTTCTTTCTCCCTCTTCCTCCCCTCCCCGGCTTTCCTTTCTCTCTGAAAAGCAATGGGGAAAAAAATGTCCTCGGGTAAGGATAAAAAAAATTTTTTTAACTTTTGTGCCTCAAGACAATCCACAAAATGAGAGGAAATATCTGCAAATAGTAATTTACCTGATAATGGACTTAACATGGAGAATATAAAAAGAACTCTTATAACTCAATAAAAAAAAATTTTTAAAGATTTTATTTATTTATTTTTAGAGGGGAAGGAAAGGAGAGAGGGAGAGAAACATCAATGTATGGTTGCCTTTCATGCGTCCCCTGCTGGGAACTGGCCTGCAGGGAACCGTCCTGCAACCCCGGTGTGTGCCCTGACTGGGAATCGAACCGCGATTGTCTGGTTCGAAGGCCCGTGCTCAATCCACTGAGCTACACCAGCCAGGGCTCAATAAAAATTTTTAAATGAGCAAAGGATATGAATAGATATTTCTCCAAGGAAGATATACAAAGGGCCAATAAACACACGAAAAGATGCTCAATCAGACATTAGGAAAACGCAAATCAAAACCACAATGATACCACTTCACACTCACTAGGATGGCTATAATCAAAAAGTGAGACAAGTGTTGGTAAGGATGTGAAGAAATCCTCAAAAAACTAAACACTGAGTTCTTACATGACCCAGCAATCCTACTCTTAGGTTTATTCCCCAAGAAAAATGAAATACATGTCTGCGTGAAAGCCCACATATGCATGTTTCAGCAACGTTATTCGTGACAGTCCCAAAGTGGAAGCAACCCAAACGTCCATCAACAGACGAATGGTAACAAAATATTCAGCCATAAAAAGAAATGAAGGACTGATACATGCTACAACATGAATGAACCTTGAAAACAGTATGCTATGTGATAAAACCCAGTCACAAAAAGACTACAGATTGTATGATTCCATTCATGTGTCCAGTACACAGCCACCTACAAACACTAAGTAGATTAGCAATTGCTTAAGCCTCTGGGGTAAAGAAATAAAGGGTAAGGAGTACCTTTTTGAGGTGATGAAATGTTCTAAATTGACTGCGGTGATGGCCACATATCTGAGAGTACACTAAAAACCACAGAACTATACATTTTAAATGAGTGAATTACTTGTTATGTTAATTGTATCTCAATAAAGCCTGCTTAAAAAAAAAAAAGAATGTATAGCCATTTCAGAAAATGTACTTGTTTACACTTTTGATCATGTCGAAAATAAGTTACCTCTATAGCGTCTGGGAGAATGAAGTCTTCTGCTTGCTGTAATGACACATGCAAGCTATGCTTTCCCTGAAGACTGTCATTATCTTTTTGTAACCTCATCAGCTCTTCTGAAACCTGTTCCCGTGACTGCATCAGCACTGCCTAAAATAGAAACAGATACTAATCACAGCCAGAAAGTTAAATCCTATCTGCTGATAGCTATACCAGAGAAACACAAGGCCAAACCAGATGAAGGCTGAGAATAGAGGATACAGAAAGCTCTGTAAGAATTGCAACTAGCAGCTCAGAGGTTTTTTGACTTGCAGCCTTTACATATATTGAGGTGGACAGCGATGAAGCAAATTATCTGAGCTGCTTCTCCTGCTTCTACCAAAAGCCTGAAAGTAATGAATTTCTTCTACTATCTCCCTGAACTATAAAAGAAACAGTATCTCTAGGTAGATGAAGAAGGTGTCTGACACAAGACTTACAACAAATAGAGCACACGCTCCCAGACAACTCCCAATTCCTGACAGAATGCATTCAACAGGAAGCAGGGAAAAACAAAAAGCAGAGTTTTCATTCTTCATTATGTGTACCTGTGTTCAACCTCAGGATTATTGTCAATAGCCTAAGAACCCCCAAAATTAGATATCATAAAGAGGATAAATATTTAGGAAATGTAAGACGCTTGAGAAGCTCATTCTTTTTTTTTTTTTCTAAAAACTCCGAGAAGCTCATTCTTAAATTGGGACATGCTCCTACTTCTGCTTGTTGATGTATAAAACAATTTCCAGTACCTCACATGAATTTATGTCAACATAAAAGTTATTCTAACTAATCTGAATATAAAATAAAATTCTACAAAAGCATTTAACTTCCACTGTTTTATATATACATAAATTTAGATTACTCATTCATCCAATACTTATTTAGTAGCTACTACTCTCTGCTAGGTGTTTTGATGCCCATGGAGGATAAAAGACCGACTGCCCTGCAGAAACTCATGGTACAGTGAGGGAAAGATAAATAAACCAAAAATTACCAACTGTTCTACAAGTGCTGTGACAGAGTGGGTAGAGCAGTGGTAAAAGGACACAGGGTACCCAACTAGGGAAGAACATTTCCCAGAGAAGGTGATCACAATAAGGTGTCCTAAAGGACAAATCGGCTGCCAGCCAGCAGGCAGGGTCATGCATAAACTTTAGTTAATTCTACCAGCTCTTATATATCTTTAAATGACAATCAGTTGTGCTTTATGCTCACTTTCAACCCATTTACAACAAAATATTGGCATCCCACTACCTTTCAGATATGAAGGAAGGGAAAGGATAATATGTATATATTTGCTTGTAAAGACAAAAAACAGAAAGGTAAAAAATAAATTTAAATGATCATGGATGGGAGTGGATGATAACAGGGTGAAAGAAAGAGGGAATGGAAGTGAAACTTCTGATTATACATTTTTCAGTTTGGATTTATGAACCATACTGCATGTTCAAAAAATTAATTAAAAAAGAAAAAAATCCAAAAATGTAATACAAATAAGAAACAAATGGAGCTAACCACATTATCAAATCAATAGCATAAGCACAAAGAGAAAACTCAAGTTAACTCACAGGACCCAGACCAAAAACCCTCACCAGGGGTTCACTCTAGGGGCAAAAAGAAGTACAAAGAAATGTTGAACTTCACATGGTCGGTTTGCTGTGGTAGGAATTGATGAAATTATTTTGTCTCCACCTTCACCAAGTGATCAAATTTAACACTGCCAATAATGGAACCACCCATTAGATGCATCTTGATGTTATAAATTTCCCACTGAATAATTTCATCTATATAGTATTCTTACCAAAATGTCTAATCTGAATCTAATCGTGCAGAAATAATCAGACAAATGTATTCTATATGGCGATTGCTCTGGACTCTTAAAAAAACATTAATGTCATACAATTAAAAATTTAAAAAAAAAAACTGGCTACTGTTCTAAATCAAAGGAGACTAAAGTGACCTAACAACAAAAATACAACACATGATGCCTGACTGCTTCCTCAATTGAAAAAACTGAAACTATCACTAAAAAACAATCCAAAACTTTTGGGGATTATGTTATACCGAACAACACAGGTTTGAACTGCACGGGTCCATTTACATGCAGATTTTTTCAATAAATACACAGAGTACTGTAAGTGTATCTCCTCTTCCTTATGATCTTCTTAATAACATTTTTTCTAACTTAAGAATACAGTATATAATACATATAACATACAAAATATAAGTTAATCAACTGTTTATGTTACTGGTAAGGCTTTCAGTTAACACTAAGCTATCAGCAGTTATGTTTTGGGAGAGTTGAAAGTTATATGTGGTGGGGTCAGCATCCCTAACCCCTACACTGTGGCACAAGGGTCAACTGTAATAATAATATAACTGTTATAATATAATAATAGTATAACACTTATGCAGAACAGTATTTCTTATAGTTAGGAAACACATACTGAAATATTTAGAAGTATATGATGTCTACAACTTAATTCCAAATTGTTCTGAAAAATATACAGGGTGGGGGCAAAAGTAGGTTTACAGGTATGAAACATGAAACAGTACATGAAACAGAACTTATTCTTGTATTACTATTTATTGTTATATTACTTTCCATATGAACTGTAAACCTGCTTTTACCTCACCCTATACATACATTTATATGAAAGAGAATGAGAAACTGCAAGTATGAAAAAATGTGGCAACATATTAACAACTGCTAAATCTAAATGATTTTATGAGTGTTCATTCCTTAAACCTCTCTTTAAGTTTGAAATTTTTCAAAATAAAAAGTTAGCGGAAAATATTAAGATCCCAATACTACCATAGCTACTATTCTCCGAAGCAGCAAAAGAAATTAAGTTTCTCAGTATGTTGATTACTAGAGGGAAAGGGGCCCGGGGAAGGTAAAAGAGGGTATATGGGATTAAATAATGATGAAAGAAGACTTGATTTAGGGTAGTAAACACACAATACAATACACAGATGGGGCATTGTACACCTGAAACCTATATAATGTTATTAACCAATGTCACCCCAATAAATTCAATAAAAAAGGAACAAAAAGAAGTTGAGTTTTTCTTTCTCAACATATAAAATTTCAAAGGCCATTTCAACAAAACTATAAGGTACTCAACCTTAATTTAAGTAATTCTTCAATGTCACCTACAACGTATTCATTTTTAGAAAAATCAACTTTGTAAAATGTTGGCAAAAGCAATGGGTTTAAAAAAAATGGTAAGGAAAAGATAAGAGGGGACAGAAGAATGTAAGAAGGCTAGCACTGAATCTTTGTCAGCATTTAACAGTGGTTTTCAGATCAACGATTTTTATTTTATATTGTCTAATTAATGAAAAATCATGAAATTCTCTATGGTCAATGATTAGGATGAGATGCTTCCCCACAGGCCAAGGCTAGTATTGAGGAATCAGCTCAAAGGGTCTTTCAGATACTCACCAATGCCAACCAAAAACAAACCACTACCATACAACCCAAGGCTTTTTTTTGGTCATCCCTGAAAGAGCTGTATAAGAAGCAACTCTGTAGGATCATCCCAGCAGAGCCAACTATGCTCTAACTTACAAAGGGCCATCAGATGCAAGGTCTCAACTTTGAGAAAAAAAGAGTAATAAGGCAACTGCAGTCAAACTACTGAGGAGGCCCAAATCTGGACAACTGTTTTGCAAAGGTTCTAGCCGGCTCTTCTTCAAGAAGCTCTCTACCCCCACCTAACTCAAAATTAATGGCCTTCTCTAAGTTCCCCAGTACCAAGGCAGTATGGTGCATTTTCATTATATCTCATGTGCAATTATGAGGCTATTTTAAGCAAATTTGCTCTCCAGGAAAAGCATGACTGCTCATAAGCTGTGACTGCTAGGGCTTTGAGAGATTTCAATTTTTAGTATTTAGAACTCAAAGTTAAATGGTGATCCAGAGTTTATTCTCTTTAGGTTTCCCAAATCAGAAAAATAAATAAGTAAAAAATTAGAATATTGGGGGTTTAAAGAAAGAAATAATGTCTTTACATAATAATGTCTACATACTCTTGTCTATTACTGATGTTCTATAGGCCCTGGAGAACATAACAATAACCACTTTGGCCTAGAACTCATATCAAAGAAAATTTCAAGATACAACAAAAAGGACAATATTTAACATAGTTAATGTTTCTTTAAATGTTAACTTACCATCTGTTCCTGAACATCCCTCTTTGCTTGGGAAAAGCCCTGTTGTAACTCTTCAAGTAAAATCTCAGATGCCTGGGCTCTTAGAACAAGGGCAGAGATCTTAAAAAAACAATGCATACGCAGAAAGTAACAGTTAATAAACTAGTTATTCTGAAACTAACCCTCCCATCTCTGCTTAAAGAATTATGTTGTATTAGTTCACTGTAACCCACTCATTCAACAGATGTGTATGCATCTGCTATGTACAAAGCCTCAGGCTTTCAGATGACACAAGGCAGTACTCAAGTCCCCAGAAAAGCATGCTGTCACACAGAAGCAAACAGCAGTCTCTAGACACAGATATTAATTAATCCACGTGACTTAGTTATGAAATATTAACCTTAAAGGAGCTAAAAAATTAATAAAAATTAAAACTCTGTCCACAAAAAACCACACAGTTTAAAGGATAAATTAGTCTTTTCTGAATAGCTGAAATAGTCTAAGATGGTTAACTAACAGCAATAAACAAATGATTGCATCACTGAACTCCAAACTCCCTTGAATTAATGTTCCTCAGCAAGGATTTATGTGAAAGTTGATGACTCATGTGAATTATAAAATAAATCAAAATAAACTTGTTCAGGAACTTAAAAATTATTGTCAGAATTCTGCTTCCACTTTCCGCCAAGGTGGAGACATAGATAGATATACTGTGCCTCCTCCCACAACCAAAAGAAGGACAACAACAAATTTAAAAACAATAAACCATCAGAACTGACAGAAAATTAAACTGTATGAAAGTCCATCAACCAAGGAGTTAAAGAAGAAACATTCATCTAGACTGGGAGGAGGGGAGGAGATGGGCAGTGGGGCAGAGAGGACTCTCCACAAAGCAGCGGCTAGCAGACCCAGAGAGGCAGCCGATTGTGGACTGGGTGTCCTACATTCACCTACAGGATACAGATAAACCAGAAGGAACAATGGGGGAGTGAGACAGACCACACAACACAGGGTGCCAGCACAAGGAAATAAAGACTAAAAGCCTCTGACTAAAAAACACCTGTGGGGATTGAGGCGGCAGCAGGAGAAACTCCCAGCCTAACAGGAGAGTTCACTGGAGAGACCTACAGGGTCACAGAACGTACACAAGCCCACCCACACAGGAATCAGCACCAGAAGGGCCCAATTTAATTGTGGGCAGTGGGGGAAGTGACTAAAATCCGGCAGAGAGCAGAGCAACCAGCATTGCGCCCTCTTGGACCCCTCCCCCACATACAGCATCACAACACAGCAACATGAGTTTGCCATGGCCTGATGAATACCTAAGGCTCCGCCCCTTACTATGTAACAGGCATACCAAGACAAATAAAAAAATAATAATAAAGACCCAAATAAAAGAACAGATTAAAGCTCAAAAAAAAATACAACTAAATGATAAAGAGATAGCCAACCTACCAGATGCACAGTTCAAAACACTGGTAATCAGGATGCCCACAGAATTGGCTGAATTTGATCACAAATTAGATGAAAAAATGAAGGCTATGCTAAGTGAAATAAAGGAAAATATACAGGGAACCAACAGTGACAAGAAGCAAAATTGGGACTCAAATCAACACTTTGGAGGAGAAGAAAGAAATAAACATTCAACCAGAATAGAATGAAGAAACAAGAATTCAAAAAAATGAGGAGAGGCTTAGGAACCTCCAGGACATCTTTAAACGCTCCAACATCCGAATTATAGGGGTACCAGAAGGGGGAAAGAAACAGCCACCAGTGGAAAACTTATTTGAACAAATAATAAAGGAGAACTTCCCCAATCTGGCAAAGGAAATAGACTTCCAGGAAGTCCAGGAAACTCAGAGAGTCCCAAAGAAGTTTGACCCAAGGAGGAACACACCAAGGCACATCATCATTACATTAGCCAAGATTAAAATGAAGGAAAGAATCTTAAAAGCAGCAAGACAAAAGGATATAGTAACCTACAAAGGAGTTCCCATCAGATTGTCAGCTGATTTCTCAAAAGAGACCTTACAGGCAAGAAGGGGCTAGAAAGAAGTATTTCAAGTCATGAAAGGCAAGGACCTACATCCCCGATTACTCTATCCAGCAAAACTTTCATTTAAAATGGAAAGGCAGAGAAAGTGCTTCTCATATAAGGCCAAGTTAAAGGAGTTGATCATCACCAAGCCCTTATTATATGAAATGTTAAAGGGACTTATCTAAGAAAAACAAGATAAAAACGTACAGTAAAATGACAGCAAACTCACAATTATTTCCAACCACACCTAAAACAAAAACAAAAACTAAGCAAACAACTAGAAAAGGAACAGAACCACAGAAATGGAGATCATATGAAGGGTTACCAGCAGGGGAGTAGGAGGGGGAGAGAGGAAGAAAAGGTACAGAGAATAGGTAGCATAGATGGTAGGGAGAAACTAAATGGGGCAAAGGGGTAAGAATAGTATGGGAAATGTAGAAGCCAAAGAACTTCTATGCGAGGACTTCCGCCAAGATGGAGGCATAGGTGGAGACACCATGCTTTCTCACACAACCAAGTTTGGAGACAACTAAATATTAGCAACAGAAAACACAGCCAGAACACAGAAAATTGAACTTTTCGGAAGTCTGTTAACAACAAATTCTTCAGCCTGACCGGTAAGAGGGGAGAAGCCAGCAGCTGGCAGAGCGGGGTAGCACAGGAAAACTCGGTCAGACAGACTCAGGTGCGAGGAATCCAGGCACAGGGTTGGACCTAGTGAGAGACCCAGCGACTGCGGGGAACAGAGAGGGAGCTGGGCTGCAGGTTGACTGTGGTCGCGCATTCGTGCGCGGATAGACAAGCGAGGGAGTGGGCAACTGGACCAGAACCCAGCGGGTCCCCTCTGCTAGCGGTAGCGGAGGGCGCTGCCATTTCCCCGCTCTGACCCCACCTCCACATACAGGGTCATAACCCAGAGACTCTGAGTGGCCCGGCCCTGGTGAACAACCTAAGGCTCTGCTCCTCACCCAGCGGTGTGAAACAGCAGTGGAGATCGCCATTTCCCTGCTCTGACCACGCCCCCACATACAGCATCACAACCCAGCCAGCTGGGAGTCCAAGGCTCCACTCCTCATACTTAATGGGCGCGAACAGACCAAAAATGGCTCGAGAAGATCTCAAAGCCCCAGAGCCCATAAATCTAAGCGATGAAGAAATAGCAAAACTCTCAGACGCACAGTTTAAAACACTGGTCATCAGGATCCTCACAGAACTGGTTGATTATAGCCACAAATTAGAGAAACATATGAAGGCGAAACTAATTGAAATGAATGGAATTGCACAGGAAACCAATAGCGATGAAAAGGAAACTGGGACTCAAATCAATGGAATGGACCAGAAGAAAGCAAATAATGGCCAAAGAGAAAAGAGTGAAGAAGCAAGAATTCAAAAAAATGAGGAGAGTCTTAGGAACCTCCAGGACATCTTTAAACGCTCCAACATCCGAATTATAGGGGTACCAGAAGGGGGAAAGAAACAGCCACCGGTGGAAAACTTATTTGAACAAATAATAAAGGAGAATTTCCCCAATCTGGCAAAGAAAATAGACTTCCAGGAAATCCAGGAAACTCAGAGAGTCCCAAAGAAGTTGGACCCAAGAAGAAACACACCAAGGCACATCATAATTACATTAGCCAAGATTAAAATGAAGGAGAGAATCCTAGAAGCAGCAAGAGATAAGGGGACAGTCACCTACAAAGGAGTGCCCATCAGACTGTCAGTGGATTTCTCAAAAGAGACCTTACAGGCAAGAAGGGGCTGGAAAGAGAGTATTCCAAATCATGAAATCTAAAGACCTACATCCAAGATTGCTCTATCCAGCAAAGCTTTCATTTAGAATGGAAGGACAGATAAAGTGCTTCTCAGATAAGACCAAATTCAAGAAGTTCATCATCACCAAGCCCTTATTATATGAAATGTTAAAGGAACTTACCTAAGAAAAAGAAGTTAAAAAAGATGAACAGTGAAAGGACAGCAAACTCACAGTTATTAACAACCACACCTAAAACAAAAGCAAACTAAAAGGACAGCTAGATCAGGAGTGGAAACATAGAAATGAAGATCTCAAGGAGGGTTAGCAACAGGGGAGTGGGAGGAGGAGAAGGGGGGAGAAGGTACAGAAAATAAGTAGCATAGACAGTAGATAGAAAATAGATGAGGGGGCAAGAATAGTATGGGAAATATAGAATCTAAAGAACTTGAGACACATGGTCATAAACTAAAGGGGGGGTAATGGTGGGGACGGAGGGTAGGGTGGAGGGGAATGAAGGGGGGAATAAAACAACTGTAATGGCATAATCAATAAAAAAATAAATTTAAAAAATAAAAAAAAACTTCTATGTATGACCCATGGACATGAACTAAAGGGGAGGAATGTGGGTAGGAAGGAGTATGCAGGGCAGAGGGGAAAAAAGTGGGGGGAAGGGGACAACTGTAATAGCATAATCAATAAAATATATTACAAAAAAGAGAATTCTGCTTGCAGCAGTAGTTATTTGGATAACATGTACCAACTTTTCTATTGAGAATTAGGAAAACGAGACCAAAATATTAAAGACACCTACTTGAAGGCCCTGGAGAACAAAGCAAAAAGAATGACAAGGCCCAGGACCAGAATGAGGACACTTGGGAGTGATGAGTGCAGCATCTGGAACAGCTCTTCTCTAGAAGAATGTGCCAGCTCCCAAAGAAACAGATGTGAGACTGAGAGGCTGAGCAAAGCAAGAGCCATAAGATAGGGTGGTAAAAGTTAAGAATCCAGGATCCACTATGCAAAGGGACTCCTGGTAAAAACTCTGCATTTATTTTTTTTTTATCCTGACTCAAGGAAATGTCTTGTTGATTCTTAAAGGGATGGGGGAGAGACAGAAATATAGATGTGAAAAAGAAGCATTGACTGGTTGCTTTCTGCACACACCCCAACCTGGGACCAATCTCATGACTTAGGTACGTGCTCTGATAAGGGATTGAACCTGCAACCCTTTGGTGTATGGGACAGGTTCTAATCAACTGAGCCACCCAGCCAGGACAAACTCTGTGCTTTAGATTGTGTCCCCAAAGGGTCACTTCTAAAGGTAATAAA